GATAAATAAACATGGTCAAAACAACATTATCAACTGAAGTCAACTCAAAATCTTTTTTTCGTTAGCAGTGGTTTATCGTTGCTTACAGATATACAGTAAATTCCTGTCTGTAGTCCACCTTCCCAAATTCCCATCTACAACAGTGGCTGCACCCGCGTGCAAAGTATGTCTGTCTTTTTTTTTTATTTTTTGTTTATTTCATTATTTATTTTACGATTAACCGTTGCTAACGAAAAACGATTCGAAGCGAAATTAGGTTTTATATGTTTCGAAAGACCGTAATATTTACAATTTTCATAAAAATAAATACTACATTACACTCGATTGTTTTTTTTTTTTTTTTTTTTTTTACCACTAATAGGACGACTTAATGAATCTGCTGTTAAATTTTTAAGCATTTCTGTTTTTTTTTTTCTATTAATTTCCAATAATTTTATTAACAGAGTACATTTTACAAAGTTTTCTCTACATTTTTTTTAGTTTTGCTAGTTTATTAAAAAATTACTTGGAAAATCAAAAAACGAATTACTTACCTAACAACTAGATTAAAAAATTCAATAGAATATGTCTCTGGTCGTTTTCCTGTTAGAGTAATATTTTTGGTAGAAAACATATCGTATTCGTTTTTCATTTTTTGTTTTTTTCCGATTTTCCTAAATATTATGAAAACTACTTGGATGATCCGTTATGCTTCAAATCTAAAACATATTATATTTATATTTTTTTTAAATGTTCGTAAAAATCACGAACATTGTTTAATCCAACTATCAATATAAAAATTACATAAAACAATTAATCTCATTAATCTTATTTTTGACGCGTTGACATTTGATTCTTCTCTAAGTATCGCATCGACCTCGGCAATATTATTATCACTGTGCACCACTGTTGTAGATAGAAAGTTGGGAAGCTAGAACACATAAACTTAATTAATTTGTATCTGTAAACAACATTAAACCATTGCAAATGAAAAACGATTCTGAGCGAAGTTCGTTTATACATGATTTGAAAGGCCGTAATATTTACGATTTTTATCTTAAAAAAAAAGAGCTGATACTGGGTATGGGAACGGTCACTGTTGTAGGTGAGAAGTTGGGAAGGTAGGCTACATACGATTATTTTATTTATTAACATTTATTAACATCAAAAAAAATGTAAGTTTTCTGTCAAAATTTCAATTCTCCACTACACATTTTTTTTAAACTGAATTATAAGAAAAACCTACCGCCAAATAAAAACTACCAACGCAAAAAACTAGATTAAAATTCACCAAAAAAGGATAGTGTCACTTTTTGATTGGAACAAGATTTCTAACAGAAAAGTTGATAATAGGCCCAAAAATAAAAATAAATAAATTAGCAGGAATCAAATTAAAATCAATACGTTCCTCGCTTCGTTAAGAATCTAAAAGAATTTGGGAAAATAGGATACATAGGACATATTATTTTATACTTTATAAATCATTGCTAATGGAAAATGTTTCTGGGTGGAGTATGCTAAACCATTTTTTAAACATTTAAATTTAAAATTGCATAATTTTTAACTATACAAAACAAGTTGTTTTAAAAACGATAATTGTTTTTGTTTCAAGTTGCCTATCCGTAACCCCTTAAGTATTGATAGTGTACATCATATTAGGTATAATAATAAAAATAATACTATACAATAATAATCTTAAACTGGAATGTTGGGTAATCAAAAAAATAAAGGAATGGTACTGAAATACCGGTTTTTAAAAAAAAATTCAGTGACCAATAATATAATTGTAATTTATAAACAATTTATCAAATTTATTGTAAATAATTAATACTATTTGCCACCATTTGTTTTGTTTTCAATTCTCCAAAAATATCATTTACTGGATTCCAAAAAAATAAAATAAAATTAGAAATAATGAAATTTGTTTTAATTTCATCCATATTACTATGGTAATGCATAATTCAACAAAAAACTTTCGTACCAAAAACCTTTCATCTCCTTCAAGTTTTATTTTCACGACAAATAGTAACCTATGTTTTTCTTCATGGTCACGTCCATCTCTATACCAAAATTCATCAAAATTGGTTCAATAGTTTTTGCGTGAAACAATAACAAACATCCATCCATCCATAAATCCTCACAAACTTTTACATCTATAACATTAGTAGGATATATATATATTTACACATATACAAGTATATGTTACCGGAAATGTTGATATTCAGGAAATTATGACAATTCCTAGGAAACGATGGCAATTTTTAATAAGGAAAGTAAATAATACTATTGCCTAGTAAATATAATTATTTTCTAACAATAGTAAAATTGTATGTATTACTTTAATAAATATTCAATCTTTAACCTATTTTGTTTTTTTATTTTATTCTTCCATTGCAAACGTTCATGACATTTCGAATTTCAAATTCTGTATGCCAATCTGCAAGTACATCTGTTTGTCTCGAATTTTTTTTTTGAAATGATATCGGATATATTCTTGGGCCTCCGGAACACTATGTATAGAACTGCCTACCGAAGTGATTTTGCTTTTTCTGCGTGACCTGACGATTATAAAATCGTAGTCTAACACGTATACAATAATTTTGTTTAGAAAAGATTTATTTTCGATCTCGTATACATACAGTGCCTACAATATGTTTTAAAATGATTATCAAAACGTATAGGTTTATATTATAAAATATTCCATATAGATAAATTAATTTATGCTTGAAATTAATTTTGGTGTTAAGATTTTTACTCCCAAAAGTAAGGGTGACGAAAAACCACACAAATACAAAATTTTAGAGCTGCTTGTTTCTTAAATATTCTATAAAACAAATTCCGAAAAAAAGTCAATACTTTCCTAGATAATGAGTGTCTTACGATAAATTGATCAAACGTTAATTCTGTAAATGTTTTGCATATTATTATTTATATGAGAAAATTGGTGTCACAGACCATTGATCGCTTTGTGTAATTTATTATATTATATATTGGTGGTACGTTGTAATTATGTTAATTCATATGCATATTAACCAATTAAAGTTGTTAAAAAAAAATGATTTCAATATAACCAAATTGCGGTTGATGGTAATAATAATTTGAAAAGCTATTAGAATCAAATTATTTTCAACAATCAGCAAATAGGCACCTTCGTTAAATAGTATTACCGATTAAAGAAGACGGCAGTATATACTTATCACGTGTCCTGAAACAACAATATTTTCAAAGCATAACACCTATACTAATACTATCCGTTCATCTAATCACGTTGCAGTAAACAGTAACGTTCAGCTCACTTCGAAAAACCCGAGTAGAACCCTACTGCAATTTTAACATGGTTCGCAACACTCGGCTCGGTTTTACAGTTGGATTAAGTAAGTTTATGAAGCACAACGATCCGCAATATTATATTACATTGATATCAGCATCTTTAATATAGATCGGACTGTGTTTAAAGCTAACTGCATGGCCTAAAATACTGTGTCCACAGACACACTTTGTGTCCCCTGAATTACAAATGTATATCAAGAATTTTATAACGTGTTTTTTGTTTTAATTGTAGAAACAACAAACATGTTGGAATTTGAACATAAATGTATTATTATTTTTTATTTCAGTATAAATATCATATATTTTTAACCGCGATCACGGTTATAAATATTATATATCCACGAACTTTTAGTTGTATTTATTTTGTGTGGCATAAATGCAATTTAGCTCACAAGCTTTTTTTTTAATATTTTTTTCCAAACTATATATTTTTACATGCTTAATTTGATTGTACTTTCAAAAAAAGTCGCTCAAATTTAATTTGGAAGTTATGATCAAAAAAATTAAAAATGCTCGATATTTCTAAAAATCGTGTTTTTGAGTTTAAAGTACTAATTAATAGTTTAAAAATTTTAGGAATGGTACCAATTATATGTTTAACATTTAGGTGAAACCAGAATTCACCTATCTTACTTACTTTTTATGTTATTATTAATAAACCACGTAAAACCTAATTATAATATACAATCAAAATTTACAAATTATACACATTTCAAGATTGCGGGAAAAAATGTGTAGACATTTTAAAACAAATTGTATTAATTATGTCCAGATTTTTCAGACGCCAACGACATGGCAGCAGCCCCTCTCTTAGACCTTCCCTCCAATAAAGCCCCCATCATAAATCTTAATATTTTAGTAAAAAAACACAAGAATATTCGATCTATAATATTTAGATGCTTGGTAATTTTATTTATATTTATATTTTTGATGAAATCAAGTATAAATAGTTACATTTTAGTTCATAAATTATAAAATAAAATTATCTCTGTACTTCACTTGCAATATGTTAGATTTCTACAGTTCACTATGAAACGCCAATTTGCTACACGAGAAATTAATTATTTTAATCCGTTCAACAGTATTAGTAATATTGCTGAGCATAACCACAATGACAGACGCTGTTTGCGAATGGCTCAGGTGTCACTTTTACTTTGGATATTCTATGCCTATTGACTGGTGCAAAATACTCGGACCAAAATGGTGGCGAGAAAATGGGCGTCCATGCTTTAATAGCCCATATTTATATCAAGAAAGTTGTTGCAATGACTAAATCAATAACATCGATTGTTTTATATTTTTATATATGTATTAAAATTGTGTATGCATTATTTTATCGTACAGAAAAACATTAGGTATAACATTATATTTTATAATTATCATCGGTGGCTTTATTAAAAAAAAAAAAAATTGTTTCCTTAATAAAATAATATATCTACTCGCTCGAACGTCGTATTGTGTTGCTTTTATTATGAGTAGAACACGATTGCGTACATTTATAGTTGGAATAAAAAATAACTTTAAGAAAAAAAAAATAAACACGACTGCGTATGAAGCGCTGTCGAATTTATTAATTTCACCGTATACCTAATAAATATCCAGTTCACTTCTATAATAGTTAATATAAAATAATAAAATGTGGATAATGAGAATAACTAAGTAATGTTGAATTAATTATTTTAAATTAAATTAATTTCAATTCCCTAAAATCTATAACCTACTACTTTCAAATATCGGATTAAATTTGTATGGATTTTGTACTCATCATGTATACTGGTGTGAAAACAACGATAGCAACGCTTGATACTTCGTACGCAATCGTGTTTTTCCCATTATTATATATTATACCCAGTGGTGTTTTGAAAAGTACACGGGGGTATACGGTGTATAGGTGCCCATTTACAGTTGGGGAATTAGCGTATACCCCGTAAAAATAATACAAATACGCACGTATACGTTGTGCGTGTAGCCTGTACACATAGTGATATTTATAAATAACATAATGCTTGAAGGTATAAATCAATAACTCTGTGTGCCTATCCTGCCTTCCCAACTTCCCAACAGCGATGCGCCAATCAGCAGTATCTGCTTTTATATATATATATATATATATATATATATATATATATATATATATATTCGATGACGGATTTCATGAAAAAATTATGTTAATTTTTTTTTTTTTTTGTTGGACGTTGATGTGAGTTTATATTTTACATGTTTCAATTTGTTCGTAAATATGAGTTAAACGAATTATTAAATTAAATCTGACATGTGAAATGATTTTTCTCCATAAGTAAATAAATACAAATGTACAAAACTGGATGGCGAAAAACATTTTTTTTTTTTTTTATTTTGCGAATTAGTGGATGTATTTTATAAGTGTTGTAAAAAAGCTGATTGCTAGCGAAGCGACCATCTTTTTTAAATGATTGAATCTGATAAGTGTTGAGTTAATAAAATCACAATATTTGTTACCTAAATTCATATACGAACGTATGTACCTGATAGTCGTTTGCCACTGTAGTAGATGAGTCATGCGATAAGTAGTTTTTTTATTATTGTCATTGTCATTAGTGTCTTATTACGTTATAAACTATAGGTATGTGGTAATAAATTATATTTACATTAGAACCTATCTAATTAGTATTCAGAAAATAAATAGTAATCGATATGGTATATTATATGCATAGACGCACAGTTAAAATATCACGTCCGCGCTCGGTAAAAATCGTGTAACACGAAAGGCTAGGGCTTGAGACCTGCGTATGGCTAACATGACTCGGCTGTTTCTTTTGGCAACCGCAGTAGGTTCAGTAGAAAGATATAAGGTTATATGTTATATAGAATCTAAATCCAAAGTTTGATTGTACATATTTTCGCATATTTTAATATTTTTTCTCATTAGCAGAATGCAGCTTTTAAGTGCTATAACAGGCCATTTATTAAACGTGTAAAGCATATTTTAGTGTACATTTGGTTGTTTTTTAAAACACATTTTTATAACTTTTAGAGCTAGAAGTCTCGAAGCCTACTAATAACTAAATGTTTTCTTTTTTAGAATCGATTATATGAATTGACTATGCCGACAGATCTGTTGTTACAAATTTTATAATCTGTTTGTTATAAATATCTATAATTCTATCTACCAATTATCATTTAATTATTGACTTGTTCAAATGTTAACGGAGTGTTATAATTTTGATGATGTTTTTTTTATTTACCTACCCCTACTCCCTTCATCCCAAAAATAATTCATAGCTCATAAGTTCGTAACCTCTCTTCTATAAAACATCTTCGAAATATCCATTTCGCCCCTCGAGCATTTTTACCAACCCATTAGTGTTTTCGGAGAAAAAAAAAACATTCTTTTTTCAATAAAACGCTCAGTAATTTAATATAGTTTGGACATGAACTGTCTAAACATTGCGTGAATCATAATACAAACGAGATTATTAACGTTATTACGATAAAATAAAATAATTGCGCATAATTAAAGTCGTGACATTGTTTTTCCTATAGGTTATCGGCTGGTCAAATATTATTAAATCACCAATTAATTTATAATTACTTGGTGATTTCTACTTGGTGATACTACCATCGTGTACACCAAAACTGCATTAACGATTTACAAGACCTGCGTTTACAGAAAAATACCATCGCAAAATAAATACCTCGCCTAGTTTTTATTTTTTGGGCCGATCGTCACTGTCCGTCAAAGTGCGAAACCGAGAAAAACGGTTAGGCATCACCACGAATTATTGCAACGCTCGGCTTTGTTTTATCGTCATATTGGGCAAGTATCTATGCACCCATATTTTACTTATTTTTCGGACACAAATCGATCATTAACACGCGGTATTCAGAATTAAAGCAAATTGACATTGAAAATGACAATGCACGGCAATTTATAATGGCATTCAGTTCGCTAATGACCGACCGACAAAGAATAAGGATCTTTAATGATATTCCCTAGATCGTTTTAAATGTTGTATTTTGACGTTGTTTCAAAAAGAAATATTAATAATAACAATAATAAAAATTGTGCCATAATATTGTTTTATCCGTAGTTTCAACCGTATAGTATAACCCTAAATAGGTATTACTACACATATAGAAACATTGGTGTTGGTTTAACAATAATATGTTTAACAATTAATAACAAAATGATGAATATAAATAAGTTAAATTAAGACATATTTGTATTACACATTGCGACAATGGCGTGTTGAATTGAATTACCTAGAGTAACAACATAAATGTTTAAAATTACTCATAACTTATATTATTTTAAATACACGTTATGCTTAAATTTATATCAAATTATCTTATAGTAATAAAAAAAAATACTAATACATTTTAATATTATTGATTTGAACAATGATTCTGAGTCGAATCAACAGTCGTGAATGTTATTTTGACAACCATAATATATTCTACGTAGAGAGTTCTCCATCGGGAGTGATTTTAAATTTGTGAAACCCTTTTCTTTTAACTTTTTTTCAACATTCCATTTAGTAGTTTTAACACCTAACCGAGTGTAGAATCAACACCAGATTTCTGAGTGTGTGTTCACTCACAATATAATTGTTTCAAATAAGATTTTGGTTATTTTAACTCAGAATTGAAACTGAGATAACTACTAATTGTCTATTTAAAATAGATATTACGATCAACATTTAGTTTTTGTTAAATTAACAAAAAATTAGGAGTGGCTGGAAAACGACGTGCAGTTGAGCACAGCATTGACGCTACCGAGAGTTGAATCAACCACACTTTTCTATGCGTGTACATTTTACCTACCCTAACGGTATTATTGTATCACAAACTCCACGCAAGTCGACAATGAATACACTCATTTTATTACGCGTTGGAATAATGAAAAATTTAAATTTTCTCTAACCCGCTATAATAACATTATGTGTCGTAATTACGTAATATTATACCGATAAATTATTATTAAATAAATTGGCTGTTTATTTATTTCATTAATTATACTGTTATCAATTAAATTATTATTATTGTTATTATATTATTGTCGATGATGACTTGACTGTGTCTATTTATGACATTTGTGTGTGTTTATCAATATTCATCAAGCTTGTTTTAGTATAATATACGTCTGCAGCGTGTACTACGACGCACTTTGGTGCATTACAAAATTTCATACAAATATCAGGCATTATTCAATAGGTATCTAAAAATGTTAAAATAACATTATTCATTACTATATACATTTAATGTATATTTGTATGATAAAAAACCATTTTTCTATCAGAAATCTTGATCTGATCAGTGAACATCCACACCGGGAAATTGACGGTATCAAATGTTGTCTAATTGGTCCAAAAAGATCATTTTTGATTTTCCTTGTATCCTTTTTAATCCGGGAAACTCGCTGAGAAACGAGACGATTACGCAATTACGGTTTCTGTTATATTAGCGAATAACTATAATAACCCTATGGCTTATTTAGACATGGTACAATTTTAAAAATATTCTGGAAACTTTTTAAGTTGTTTACAGTTATTTTACGTATGTGTTTTTATTTGTTCAGTATGGCTTCAGTCAGCAAATCCCATTAGCCTTGAGACATCATAATTATATTATAATTATATTTGAAGCTTCAAATAATAATAATGACCAAACGTTGTACCTAGTTATAATAATAATATTTGTTTTATGCAAAAATCAATTAAAATATATCAACAAGAATAGAAAGTATACAATTATAAAGACGGATATACTTCGCTCGCTCGTGGGTGCAGCCACTGGTGTAGGTGAGAAGTCGAGGAAAATCAAGAAACTACCGCCTCAAAGTACCTTCCCGGCGCAATTTCGTTACAAAAAAGGTGCTACGCTCAAAAATCGCAGCGAGATTTCTGGTAGAAAAGTTGCGCACAGACGAATGAAAAAAAAAAAAAAAATAATAAAATCTAGACATCTATGTAAAACCATAACACAAGCTTCTCCGCCCCACTCGGCGTCTGAAATGAACACCGACCGAGGAAACCCTTATGGGTATAAACAGTGTTATTAAAAATTGCGAAAGCGGAATCTCTGAAAAGTCTACATTGTCAAAAAAGACTTGAACATGTGATCCAATTAACGAATTCGTGAATATCGGTGTCAAGTAATCTGCGTAATTGAACGGCGACAGATATACGACATTTGATTCCAATCCGCGTTTTAAAATGCCGAACGGTTATAGTAATGTTTCCTTCGCATCGAGTACCGCGCCACCTAACCACACGGGTTTAGCGTAATATGTTAACCGTGTACACGGTCGATATGATGTACAAATTTTGCGTTTCGACGTAAACAGACATTATTCAAGGCGATTCCAAAAGTGTACCGTAGCGTGTTCGCGGGGTAATACGGGTAATCGTTTTAAACGCGCGGAATGTTTCGTGGAAAGTCTGACAGCGACCGCACCGACGTTTCGGGGTACGCGGTGTACACGGCACGAGTCTGAAACGAAAACATCCCTAATTACAATAAACACTATGGAATGCGAAATGGTAACGACTAATGAACGTCGTTACGGTTTCACATCGCCATGCGTGCTAAACAAGCGGTACCGGTTTTCCCCCGACCAGCGATAAATGGGAAATATTTCGCAACCATATCGTTACGAACACCGACGGACAACGGTTCCGTTGTTATACAGAGTGATCAATCCGTCACAAACACGCTCGTCATCTCGGATTGAGCATTGACTTTTACCGGAATTCCCTTTTGTGGAAAATCGTTGGTACAAGCCGTTCTAGAATTTAACATTTACTGTCGAAAATACAAAATGTGTTTTAACCACTTTTATTCGTTTGTTTGCGGAATTTTTAATGTACGCTGTCATTTGAAAATCAGACGTAGGTAGTCGTTAGACCCACCAAAAAAATAAGGGTTACGAAAAATAATGTAAACGTTAAATTTGAAAACAGCCGGTTTAGAAAATTTTCTTTTAAACGAATTTTCGAAAAAACCAAACACTTCCCGACGTATAATGAGCGCCTTATGATAGATTTTTCACCCCGTATGATATTAGTTTAATTTGTGCGTTTTGTATTTATAATAATCGTTTATCGAGTGCCCATCTGCCGACTGCATAGCGACCGTGCGTCCGCACCACGTACCCCGTCCAACTACACCGAAGTAAATCCCCAGTCGTTAAAATATTTTCTCCCGTATAAAAGAGCGGGCGGTCCGTCCGAACCGACAAAACGAACGCGTCCGGTGCTCGACACATCATTCCCGATAACTCGCGACACTTCGCCGAACATTGAAAGAAGAAGAACACACTCGATATCGACTGCCCGTCAATATGAATCAATACGCCCGTATTTTGTTGATCATCGCACTGGGTGAGTAACATACAACAGTACAAAATTATTATGAACAGCGTTCGGTAACCATGTGCATTTCATTTCGGCGTTCGCCCGAATTAATTTTTTTTTTTCCTCCGTTTGAAATCATAATCGGGCACCGTGCCTGACAAACCTATGTCGTGTTGCACCGGGTTCGATGAAATTTTCAGTGTTTTAAATTAGGATTTTTTTTTTTTTCTGTGGTCAGTGGACGGCGACTTTTCTACCGGCAATTTCGCTCCGATTTTCAATGACAGCACTTTTTACGAAAGCGAGTCTGACTGGAAAAGTACTTTATAGAGGTTTTTTTTTTTTTTGTTTTTCCGAAGAGTTTTCCCGGTAAATGGGAAAAACGATAAAATAGATACTATTTTAATCAAATATTATAAAAATAATAAATATTTAATGCATTAGGTATCGACCGATCTCCGCTCAGGTTTTGAAAAGCCGTAATATTTACGAAATTCGTTAAAATTTGACTTTAACTCTTGGGGGGAAAAAAAAAAAAAAATACTACAAGAAAAATTTTTCTTTAACGACTTATAATGAACCTCCCATGAAATTTTCAAACGTTTCTGTTAAGTCTAACAATTATTTATCTACAGAGTATCTACCAAACAAGAATTACGTAAAATACTCGCAAAACTAAAATGACTATGAACAGTTCAAAAATTCTGATAAATTTACCACAAGTTTTCTGTAAACATATTAAGTCTCTACGAATATTTCAAATCAAATTACATTAATAAACAAAATTTAAATTAACAAAAGAATTATTTTCGTGAACTATCCCGTTCTTTCTACGTAATTTTCGGTTTTGCCTAAATATCAAAAAAAAAAAACCCCAAAAAACGACTTTCTTGGTCACCAACCAAATTCAACAACATCGATCTCTTGTCATTTTTCGATTGGAGCAATATTTATGGTAGAAAACATCGTAAACCGTAAGAATTCGAAATAACGAAATCGTTGCGCCGTAATTTGAAAAAAAAAAAAAATGAAAAAAATTGCGAGAATATTAAAATTAAAAGAAAACTAAATTAATCGAAGACCCCCATATATTTTCTATGCGGACTTTTTCGTTGTTAATATTATTCATTTCGGTTATCCTCTAGGAAACAAAATCAAAACGACCGATTCACAACTACGCGTCCGACTTTTTATCATTATTATTAACCCTTCAATGACCGAATTTTTTTTTTTTCTACGCAAAAAAATGTCCCGAACCTATATCGATGCGCCGAATTCGGGAAAAACGATTTTTGAAAATCCCGCGTCCGAGCTTGCATTAAAATATCACTGCGCTGTTAATTGCTCGTGCGTTACGCGCGTTCGCGTGAACCTCGATGACAATTTCGAAGTTTCGTCCCCGGCCGGTTTAACACGGCATTTTTCGCTCGAAGCGCACGCGACTAAACCGAGAAACACCATGGAATCGCGTGAACCAAGCTCCGAACGCGTTGCACGCCGGGAATTCGGTAACGTTTTGCGTGCGCGCGTCGATCGTGAACCAAGACAACGCGATTCGGCGGGCCCGAGGCGGAGCAACGCAATCGTTTGTGCGCGGCGCGGAGGGTACGGATCGTTTGCGCGCATTCCCAGCGCGGCGTTTTAAATCTGACGATCACGCGAACTGTACCGGCGGATTTTTCAGGTTTGGTGGCCGCGGCCGCAATGGCCAGCGCCGAATGCCGGTGGCTCGACTGTCACGCGCACTCGGCCGGCGACTGGTGCAACATACTGGGGCCCAACTGGAGAATCAAGACGTGGCGCCGTTGTAACGGACTGCTGGGCAAGTCGGAACAATGTTGCAACTAAACGCGCTTGCCGCGCACAGCGTTGCTGAACGACACCGGTCAACGTTACACGCGACGATTTTACCATTACCGTTTTTCACCGTATTGTACGAAAACTTTGCTACCCAAAAATTCTGTTACATTTTAAAACCAATGACAATATTATTACCTACTCGTTACAGACGATTATTTGCGAACGGTGTACATTTTTACCGCCACGGAAATAAACGCCGGAAATACATTCGCTACAATTATAACTTGTATATCGCTGGTTTTTTTTTTTCCTGTCCGTTCCGTTTTGGTACGCAGTAGTACCTGACCTACGCCACGCCCAGCTACTCGTCGCGTAATATCATCCTAACATTATAATTATGTAGCAAAACAGTTGACGTATTTCGTTCAAAATAATTGCGGTTGAAAACGTTCACCGAGATCGACTTACTGTGATGAATTTGTTCGGAATCTCTACTGTCCCGGCGCGATCGATCCTAAGGTGAAAGATTTGGCAAACGTATGTGTCGGGCGCACAAGAGTCGTGTCGACGTGCGCGAAACGGACTTAAACGAGAGTCGACAAATTGTCTGGGCTATGCAGGAAGCGGAATTTTCTATTTAAAATTTGGTGGGTCCAAAATGCAAAAAAAAAAATAATAATATTTATAATGTAGGTACCCCCCACCTATTTTACGAAATTTTCAAAAGCAATATCTCCATTTCAAAATTGAAAATTGACTTCCAAAATAATATGCGTGAACAAATACAGATACATAATTTAGGGCTAAAAGTTATGTGCGTTAGGTATGCTCAGACAGCCTTCATTACACGGCTAAGAAGCTAGAGAGGAGGGGGGGGATATATTATTACAGGTATCGACTTTAAGAACTCATACATCAAGTAAAACGAGAAGACGAAAACAAATCAAGAGTAAAAAAAAACTCATGAATAATTTATTACTTGGTGAATAAAGAATAATATTTAAGTGATAAAATTATTCTTTACACAATTTTGAATAAAAAAAAATTATTTCAATTAAATTGCAAGAAATGTTCAATGTTTTTATATAAGTAACCATAACAACACTGCTATCAGACTTTATTTATAATAATTTAAAACAATTTTATTAAAGGCCCAAATAAACATAATTTGTACAACACAATAATGCATACATAAGTAACTTCACTTCAGTTTATTATTACTATGTTAATGCAATTGTTGTCGGTTTTGTACAATTCTTATTTCAACAAATTTAAAATTATACGATTTGTCAGCAAATTCGACACAGAGTCGTTATGAATTTATAACAAATTCACTGATTAATACTAATGGAACTACGTTCTTTTGTTAATTAGGAGTTGTATTAGTAGATACAGTACTCAGATACTCAATGTGTTACAGTTAAAATAGTGAAACTTAATTAAGTAATGATTGTCACTTGCCAGTAGAGTTCAAACTGCTTATTAAAGTTAGTTTGGAATTCATGCGTTTCCATTTTTAGTATATCTGTAATAGTTTTATTGATGAAATGTATAAAACATACCAATTTGCTTAGTGTTTCTTGGAAAATGTTTGATTGTGTGAGTAACATTAAACAAATTTGAAAGTGCAAGAATTTTTTTAAATATTCATTATTGACATTTTCATAATCAATGTAATACTGATATACGTTATGCTTTTTATTTTCTCTAAATAAATATTTTAATTTATTAACCCATTTAGTTAAGTTGTAATATAAATTTTAGAATATTCTTTTTGGTACCTATTTTTATTAGATTTAGAAATTGAAATTAATTTTTCATATGAAGTTTTGACCTAAAATATTTATAATATTAATACATTAATATGAAAAAATATAGTCATCCTGAAATTACTTCTGGAGTATCATTTGTGTGACGGCACGGCGCACGGCGGTTTAATTGTGCTCTACTCCTCCTACCTTAAACTTAAAAGTGGATCTTCTTAACGGTCAATAGGTTTGTTTCTATCAACGTAGATAACTGAGCTTTGAACAATGATAAATAAAAAAAAAAGCATTTTATTATTTTGTTATTAAAACTTGTTTGAAAAATCTATCACCAAACTCAATCAGCTCAAACAGTGGATTCAATCTATTCCGGATATATCTTGGTATTGGTGTTTAAAACAGAACAGTATACAAAATTCTACTTCAATTAGCCAGTCTAAAATTACTGGGTGAAACGTTCTCATAATTTATCCCACAATTGATTGTGTAACATATTATCAAATATATGTGTATATATAAAGGGACATAACCCTAATGGATTCATCTTTTTTAAAAATCAACAAATCTACGTATTATTAACAAACACAACAGACTGAGTTTGTCATCAGCTAAGCACTAAAGAACGCACACACACGACGATCAGCACGTAAGGTAAGGTCAAGCACTAATTCCAGCCTAAATTAGAAAAAAAATTTAATTGTATGAGTGGTATGGGCTAAAATAAACAACAAGTAGGTAATCTCTATAACAAGAGTAAAAACTAAAATCGCCAGCAAATTGTGGCAACAAAAAAATTATAAATTTAATAATTCATGACAGCACTTTATTATAGCAAGAATTGACTCATGGCAAATAATGCAGTTTAATACATACCTATGATTTTTGGTATTTTTTTTTTTTTTCAACTGAAATCAAATATTGAACCTAGCTCATTTAATTTTTTAAGTTAAAATATTTTAAATGTTAGTATACTGAGTTCATAAATGAAGACGTCAGTTGTAGCGAATTGTCATTACACATTTACAACCATAAATAGCATTTTTTTTTCCCCCAGTTATCTACTTAACGTGAATTTGAAAACAAATTTAATTTATTTTCAATGAATCAGATAAGAGCTAATAATTCACAATTGGTAAAACTGTTGTTGGAATTTGTTTTATTATTACTAGCAGCTTTACAAATTTACATTTGTTATTTTTCAACACTCCTATTTTAGGAGGTAGAACTACCACCTACTTTTGATTAACAAATTACAACCTACATTAAAAATAATATCAATAGATTAGTATTAGTTAAAATAAATTTTGGTGTTGAATTTTTTAATTTTCGTCAATCCATTGACTAGATATTTCACTTCGAAGTTTGGCTCAGAAAGTAGTAATGCATTATTAAAACACTGTGGAGCCACACAAATGTTGCTCCGATACTTTTCTCCGGATTCAAATTTAAAAGTGGAATATCTCGTCAACGAAAATTAAAAATTTCAACGCCATAATTTATTTTGACTATTTAAGGAATTCTCAATATAGGTTGACATTTAAAAATCAAGAGTAGGTTCAAGACATTTCATCCACAAAATAAAGGTGAAAAAAAAATGATATAACATTTTAGAACTATTTTTTTAAGTTTAAAAAAAAAAAAAATCTAATGCTAGTTTCCATTTGAGTGAGTTACCCTGTATAGGATCTCTATACTTTTGTGGATAATTGATTCTGTACTAGACAATCTGTGGTTATTAGATTGTCTCTTTACCTGCCTGAGTAGTAAAACTTTATTAATCACTACCCAAGATTTTAACAATTACTGTCATTCACAAAAACATTATTGATATAAAACAGTTTATTCAAAATATTATTTCAATGTATATTTTTACATTTATAAAAATGCCAATTTTTCACTTTTCTTGTTCAGCAGGTATTTCTCTAGTCTTTATAATGGTTGTTACCTTAGTAATTGTTTTTATTTCTTGCAACCATCTTCGTGGAGTATTACAATTAACTGGATCATCCTCAACCAATAAAACACTATCTTCTTCAGTGTTAATGTCTTCAGTGATTTTTTCATTTTCTTCGATATTTTCAATTATCATTTTGTCTATTAATGAAGTATCATATACTGAAATAAGTTATATTTACAAAAATTAATGACTTAAAATATATATTGCTGTTATTGACCAGTTTGATCAAACTTTCAACCCTTATAAATGTCAGATGTTAGCCAATGGATGTATAATAGAAATCAGCATAGGCAAATTTTTTTTTTAGCCTAAAAATTAAGTTACAAATTGAACCCGACCTATATTATAACACAAATATAGTTAATTTGTCTCATTAGTAACTATTTATAATATAGAGTGGATATATTATAAACAAACTACTGAGAGAACAAGTAGAGGTGAAAAAAAAAATATAAAATTTAGGTAATTTTATGTAAACAAAAATAAATCCTAATTATTAAATTGTTTGGGGGAAAAATTAATTTTAGATCAATATATTATAGTTAAATAAAAAATATTCATTTTGAAAATAATATTCCAATTTTTTTTTTTTTTTTTAATGACCTGATCCAGTCCAAGCTGTGTAAAGGCTGACCCGGCCCAGGCTGATCTCCAGTATAGATTAAAATTGTAAATGTTGCCAAGATATTGCACACAAATAACTTCACTTCAGTTAATTACTATGTTAATGGAATTGGTGACTGTATATATTTTGGTCAATTTATAGACCTTAAAGCCAGAGAAAACTAGGAATTGTATTAAAGCAATTTCAATTTTCAAAACAAATTATAGTTCTTTAAATTCACTAGAAAAAAAAAAATTATACTTTGAATATATAAATATATATATCAATAATGGTGACACAATTCAAAAATATTTACAAGTGCATTTTTCGACGAAGATGAGTTAAGTGTATAATTGTATAAGACTAAGATTAATTGTACGTTTTTTAATATGTGGCAAGTGATTTAGAACATAAGCCAATAGATAGCGTAGAATTTTATGATAAGTACTATAAAAAAATAAAATGTGAATGAATCTGTGCTCTCATGTAAAATCATTAGTTTGTACATACAACATGTTTAAATTAAACCATCAAATTTTGTCTTTTACACATGAGAATTTAAATTAAAAATAATTTCGACATGTTCTACTAAAGAACATAAAGAATCATAATCTGTTTACTGAAATCCATCAACAACAAGTCTTACAGTTTTCTCTGGCTGTTACAATTTCTATCGGCTTTGTAATTTTAACAAGTCATAAATTCATTAAGACATTTTTAATTCTTGGTTGTCTATTAAAAATTAAACAATTTTACTTTGTAACAATTCCAAAATTATAACACAACGATAGAACTAAAATTATTGTGTAAAGTATGGTAACAAATATCTTTTAATAAAAAAAAAAGTACTATGAAAAACTAAATTATACAAATTCCAGATTTTTTAAATAAACTGGTGTATTTAGTATTATAGATAGTCTCAATACATTCAAAAAAAATTAAAATAAAATACCTTTTATTATAGGTGTATTAGATGCTGGTAAAATTTCATTTTCAATAGGATTTGATCTGCAAACTAAAAAAATAAAGCATTTAGTATTATACTCAAAACATAGAAAATAAAATACCTTTTATTATAGGTGTACTAGATGCTGGTAAAATTTCATTTTCAATGGGATTTGATCTGCCAACTAAAAAAATAAAGCATTTAGTATTATACTCAAAACATAGAAAAAAAAAAATGAAAATAAAATACCTTTTATTATAGGTGTATTAGATGCTGGTAAAATTTCATTTTCAATAGGATTTGATCTGCCAACTAATAAAATAAAGCATTTAGTATTATAGACTCAAAACACAGGAAAAAAAAAAATGAAAATAAAATACCTTTTATTATAGGTGTATTAGATGTTGGTAAAATTTCATTTTCAATAGGATTTGATCTGCCAACTAAAAAAATAAAGCATTTAATATTATACTCAAAACATAGAAAAAAAAAAAATGAAAATAAAATACCTTTTATTATAGGTGTATTAGATGATGCTGGTAAAATTTCATTTTCAATAGGATTTGATCTGCCAACTAAAAAAAAAATCATTTTTAATTTGTAAAAACAAAATTAAGTTTTTGTTAAAGTAAATTACCTGATCTTATACATTTAACGTTATTATTCACATTTGCCTTTAATGGCCCATTTAACTTTGAAGATTGAGTAATTTTTTTTTCATTATTAACAACAGTAGTAGATGAACTATTTTTCAATTTTCTCTTAGAATTATTACAACTGAAATTCAAACAATTTAAATCTTAGATAAACAATAATGAAAAAAAATGTATAAGCCACTTTACAGTTGGCTAATATAAGAACTGTGCATTATATGTCATTTTATAGATAGGAGCTAATATTTTAAAAGAAAAAAAAACAGTGAAACTTAGTAATTTTTTAATCAATGCAAATTTGAAATAACATATTAATTATTAATAACTGCTTATTAATTTGCATGGAAAAAAAATTAGTTTTATAAGATTCTGAAGAAAATAATTTGGTTACTATCTCAAGTAAATTACCTCTACATAAACAATGAAAGAGTTACAAATTTGAAACAACTCATAGAATTTTGATATCATTAACTCCTTACTATTTTCCAAAAACTAAATTTAAAGCCAACCAAAATATTTAATGAAATTAAAATCACATATAAACCCATTTTCTAGTTAATTTAATAATTTAGTTAATGAGAATATTCTTATAATTTAGATACAAATAATCAAGATGTCTTACTGCACTTTAAAAGGCGACAATACATTCACATTGGTACACACTTGTTTTTTTTGAATAGTAGAATCACCTTGATTAATAACTAATTTTCGAACCCGATTACCTAATTTAATACAAATATTTTTTTTAACAAAACTAAGGGAAAAAATGAAAGTATTAGGCAGTAAAATATAAATACTAAATTTAAAAAAGATTACCCTTTTTTTTTGACATTGATTCAGACACTTCACTTCTTGCTTCAAAACGTTTACGTTTTGGTTCAGCTGTAGCTATGTCATTTTCTTCAGTTTTAGAATTATTGGAATGTTTTTTTTTATTTTTAACTGTGTAACAAACATATATTTTTTTTAGTGAAAGTAAAAGGTTGGACATACATCGCACAATGAGAAGCTCATTGTTGTTACAGTCAGGGATAGTATAAGATACAGTAATTTGGCTTATGAACTGTAAGCAACAATATATTATTATACTCGAAAAATTATTCTAAGCAGAGTAGTATTAGCCATACAACTTCTTGTGATTAATCTTTTTTACAGGCTCTAATGATACTATTGCAATAATAATTATTTTTAGGGAATCTACAGACTCTGAAGGAAAACCAAATCCACCAGTTTATTTAAACCAGATACTGCTCCAGTGTCCCAAATCTATAGTAAACCAAGTAGTTGATAAAAATCATCAAGAACTAAATCAGAGGTAAAATGAAACAAATTAACCTAGTCATTGATCCAAACTTGATAATTCTTCAAAGAAGTAGGTTTACTAAGAGTAAAAAGAAAAAACCTATTAAAACACACACATGTGGCTTAACATGTAAATTAGACAGCGATTATTGGATTTTAACCCAATAATATAAACTCAAAATAGAAACATAACTTACTGATCATTCTAATAAGATAACTACTTCAAATACATAATTATATTATTATGGTAGTACCTCAACTATCAGCGGTAGAAATATATGCAGCTGATAATTGTTACTATTGAACTCATGAAGTCCAGAAATAAACAAATTAAGAACTCAGAATCTAAAATAAATTACTCTATTATTAAAATAGTAATTTGCATTAAAAGTAAATTACCTAATTTTGGAGTTTGAAGATTTTTCACAATTTGATTTGTTTGCTCAGGTAACTTTGTGAAATTGGTAATTCGTTCTGTAGATGAATTAATTTTTGATTTTGTTTCAGAACTACAAATAAAATTCAAAAAAAACATTTAATCAAATTTAATATTTTTCTACGAGTTTGTTAATTACAAACTGTGTTTTATCAACATATGTGTATACAAATATAACAACGCAATTTGAATAACTTTTATTTAGATTCTGATACATAATAAATTATTTGGTTTTATTTGGGATGATCAGGTGTGTGCTGTGAATTGAACGAAGAGTGATCCTCCCTCTTCACCTCGTCTATCATATATTCTAGATACCTTAAGCATTAGTGAGAATATTTTTTTTTTTTTTTTTTAGGGGGGAGAGTAACCAAAGGAGATTACATATATTTTATTCAAAAACCAATTTGCATGAACAATTTAAAATTAAGTCACATTGAATATTCTTTCAATTTTAAAAACTAGAAACTGATTTAAATCTTAGGGATTCAAATTTTTTGTAATTTTTTAACATTTTTTTTTTTTTTTTTTCTGAAACTTAATATAGAAAAATTAAAAATTAGAGTTCAATGAAATATGTAAAAAGTTTTGCGCTTTTAAATTTGTTAAAAATATGAAACTGCCGAAATTGTGCATCTGTTGCACGTGAGATAAATTTAATTTAAATCTATACCTACACAACAATAAACTATTCTAAAAGAAGTTCAGTTACACATATTTGAAACGCCCTGTCCTCTCTCATTCAACCTCAATTCAGAGCACTCTTACAAGATAAATTTTTATTTTTCTATATTAGTAATTTATTTAATGACAATGTACATCAATGATAACTTATAGAATAGAATCTGTTATTACCTCGGTTCGGAATATTTTTTAACATTAATGACGTTATTAATTATAATTTCCCCATTATAATTTTTCTTCGACACTACTTGGCTGGCTGGATCATTTATTTTAGTAAGCTTAACATCTACCGGAAATATACCTTTTTTAATTAGCAGACAACCACCTGAAATTAAATTTTTTATTAACTTGTAAAAAAAATTAATTAAAAATTAATTACCATCATGTAATACTTGCGATTGGGCCATAGTTAAATTAATCAAACATCGTTTATTACTTTCTTCAACATTTGTGACTTCTTCAAATTCTTCTATTTGTTTTCGATTGCCTTTTAAGATTTCAATTTTAAAATATTGATCCTTACTATACTGGTATGACGTAATGATTTTCGGTTCCGATAATCTTGAATATTTATTACTTATTTTGTTTTTACGCGCTGTATAATTATCATTTCTTAAAACTATTGAGGTATCCAAAATGTTTGTTCCCAGATTGACTTGAAAAATAATAAAGGAATTAAGGAAATTATCGACATAAATAAATATTAACTTAAACGTGAATTACCCAGATCTCGGGGCACACGACGAGTTTGAATATTGTTTTTTGAACGTAATACTCGGTCAACAGAACTATTGGTTTTTTTCCTCGTTTTTTTCGTAACCTTACAACCTTATTGAAAATACATAATTATAATGAAAATTAAGTACACTTATAACAAAACTATGGCTTTTGGGTCGACGACTGTGGATTTTTTTTCCGAATGGTTAAGAAACAACGTTTGGTTTGCGTTCGTCCGCACTGAAAACACGTCGCTGAAATCACAACAATCTAATTATGGGCCGGGATGAACTCGACGAGGCAGACGAGTGTGTAGCAGTTTTAGCGTCCGCGATAGTAAATAACGGCGGAAACGGGAAACCGTGGGCGCATACATCCCAACAATCTGCACCGAAGGGCGCATACAGTGAATTTCGTCATCTCGTGCGCCACAGTGGCCCGAAAAGCCGAACAAGAGATTTCAAATGGATTTTCGTGTGAACAAAGGGGAATTCAACGCTCTGTCGGTTTCTCTCTCGACCCGGTTTCCGCAGTGCTTGTTCTTGAAACCGTGTAGCATGGCACAAGTCATTGCGCATGCCGCAATGATCTCTGCCGCCGTGTCGTGCCTTCACACGGCTTCGCGCGACTGACAAAAATCGGAAAACTGGATCGGCAGCTGACGCGTGCGACGTGCGATTGCGTGTTCACACGTCGCGTCACGCCAATCGTACACATGTAACGATCGGCAGAAAATTATATTACGCGCGGGATGACGCGGATAGTGCGTACGAGCCTTTAAGACGGGTCGAATAATATCGCGTCACGGTGAAAATCAAAAACGCCGCCCACAATCGATATTGTGTTTTGCGGTACATTTTTTTTTTTTTTTTTTTTTACCCCGCCAGTCGTTTCTCAAACAAGCGATAGTTTTCCAACGTTTCCACGCTCCCGAATCGTCACGAAAAATTGTGCCAAAATACCGAAATGAGCACAATAAATTCCCATTCGTACCGTACTGTTTTTCAACGCGAGAACGCGCGGGGCGGCGGACGAAAACCGGTCGAAACTCGCGCACGTCCCCGTTGCATTTACACTAGTTTTGTGGCGGGGGCGTGTGATTCAGCCTCCGTTAGGCTCGTTTCACACTAATACGGTTTGGTTCGGTTCGGTGCGTATTCGATTCGTTTTCGGTAGCCGCCGGAAACGAATGAAAACTGTTCACGCACATTCGGTTAGTCACGAACATCAGGTTCAATTTCGCAACCGAATCATCAAATACGCAGTCGCCCACTATGTCTACAACGCTCACTATGGAGAAAAGACAAATTGTTACCGTGTTATTTCTCTATAGAAGAATCAAAAAAACGAAAGAGGAATAATCGACTTCACTTTATAATTTTTTTCACTTGTTTTATCCCACAACCACTACACGTTGATCGGACTGATGAAATTGGCCGATCAATATCAACGTCAAGTGAATCACACAATGCCAAAAGAAAATAACAAAATTTAAAATGAGAAAATGAAATAATATTTTCCCTTGCCGAAATCGTGACCGAACCGAAACTAAACCGTGTGTGTGTGTGTGTGTGTGTGTGTGTGTAAACGACCAATTGCTTTTGTGAACTTGGGACCCGAATCAAAACCGATTCGTGTCGAGGGGGCCCTTTCGGTTCTATCAGTCGTCTATTAGGTACCGAACACACACACACACACACACACCGTATCATCGTTTCACACTTTTTCGGCGGCTACCGAAAACGAATCGAATACGCACCGAGCCGAACCGAACCGTATAAGTGTTAAACGAGCTTAAACGACGCGCCACGCGGTGCGTTCTCGTCTGGGGAAAAAAAATAAAAAAAACAAAAGAGTGTAGCGCTTGCAGCGTTTTCCGCCCGCCCGGAATGTTGCGCTCAGTGCGCACCGAGTGTTTAAAACGTGTTCCACCTGTACAAACGGGATTGCGTCTTTACGCGGCCATTTTTATTTTTTCTCCGATAACACAAATGCCTTCTACAATAACCTTGTACCCGTCCAACCGTGCCACCCACAATAAAATACGCAACTACAATAATGATAAAGGACGAATTTTATAATTGTCTAAAAATAGAATATAAACAGCGATATTCCCGTTGGGTATAATTAAACACGGTGCACTGTGATTTATTGTGGCAGCAGCAAAACCGTACCCCGGCGGCATTGCACGTGTTTTCAAAACTCATTTACTGCGCATATTTCCATGTTTGACCGAATTAAAACCCATCGAGAAAAGACCAAATGTCCAGTCGTTTCCAGAGCGGGGGACGGTAAGCTCCTTAAATATATAGAGTCAACTGCTAATCCGGATAATGGTTACAACTACAAAAGATAGTGGCAACACAATGTCCTACCACTGGATAGTCGTAACAAGTAAAATAAGGCGTTTTAAAATAAATAAAAACTAGTCGATAAACTACAAAAATCAAAAGCAAAATGCTTTAACACAATTTTTTTTTTTTTACTAGTTATGAAAATTAACAAAAATCGGTTATAAACTACAAAAATAAGAGGTATATATTGTTGTATTTCCGATTTATGGATATAACGTATGCGTTATCGAAATGTTCGAGAATTTCCGATACGATGTCTTTTAACAATATGTTTACTAAATTTCATTAACATTTTATTATCTTACATTCGTAAGTCTCTACGAATATTTATCCAAAATTCGACAAAAAATGTCTCTTAAATCATTTTTTCCATTGGAGAACTATTACTGGTAACGCGGTGCGTGTTTATTTGAAACAATGAAATCGTAAAACAGTACGTTTTCCCCCGCTCGAGTACAATCAGCGGCGTATTTCGGGCTTTTTCCTCGGGGAAAAGAGGAGGGGGAGGGGGTTTCTTGACTCCATATTTTTTCTCCGCGAATATTAACATAGCTTCATCGCGAATTCACACTCGATTATAATAACTGTTAAAACCTTACAAGCGGTCATTTTACGTGTAGCCTCCAGAGCACAGCCCACCAGGACCAGTTACCGTTTTTACTACGATATGAAAAAAAAATGTTCGAGATTTCGTGAATTTCGTAGATAATATTGTACCACGCGAGGAGCGAGAAACGTTTTTCTTCTCGCGTCCGAATGCCAATGTCCGGCGTCCGCGAAAAAAGCGGTCGTCGGCAACAGGGAAAATCAAAAATATGACCGACAAGAGGTTTATCCCGGAGACGGTTACGAACAAATGACCCACGTGCCCGTAGATTTTTTTACTCAGACCCACAAGCCATATTACTTATCAACAGAGTAGATTAAATTGAATACCAGTTTTTTTCGGAGTTTGTTCTACCGCCATCTGCGGACAACAAAAACATGTTTTTTTCATCACTGTTCTAGTGCCGATAACCGACGACGAAGAATCAGCAGTTCGGTTATTTTTGCCGGAAGACATGCCAGCGACAAGTGACGGCCGGCGTCAGGGGACAGGAATCGAAATAAAACGAAGGCGAATAATAAATGCGAGACGTAATTTTACGGAAACGGTTCAACGGTTTACGTTAATAGAACACGGCCGAAGAAAATGACGTCAGACTCGGGAACACCTGTAGCAATAATATTTGCGGAACGTTTACGTGAATAGAAAAAAAAAAAAATCGAGGAACGATTCGAGGGTCAAATAATGCGAGACAATTTTACGGAAACACGGCCGAAGAAAATAACGTCACAATCGGGTGTCACGGTAAACTGACCGGCGGAGAGTGTCTGACGCGGTCTCGTGGACTATGTACTTACTGTTATCTCTTGCTGGAACTCACCTACTCTGACCGCCGGAGTTTCCACCACACGGTGTGCCAGCGACGACGACGACGCACAATACACGCGCGTCGCTTGCGACATCTGGTCGCGTAGCGCCAGTGTTGCAAACTCTAAAGGCGCGGACACACGAGCGAACAAAATATATGACGAATGCTCGCGCGTCCAGAATTTAATTTCGTGGGGGACTGATCATAAATTGTATAAACATTGCCATACAAAAAATATTTAAAAAGCTGTCCCGGAATAACGGAGACGGGTGCAGCCATTGTTAAAGGTACCTAATTGAATGTATACCCGCAAGCAACGGTTAACCGTTGGTAACGAAAAAACGATTGTGAACGAAGTTCGGTTGATAGTGTCGCTTTTTCAACAATATATATTTATGTCTTGTTATCTCTTAATAGTCTATCTCTTATACTCCATCTGTATCAGTTAAAATAAATTTTAGTGTTGAAATTGTTGATTTTTCTCTAGCCGTTGACGAGATATTCCACTTTCGAGTTTGCGTTGGACGAGAGTAGTGGAGTATCATTTATACCGCGCACGGTGTGTTAATAATGCTCTGCTACCCACCTTCGACCCAAACTTGAAAGTTGATTATCTCGTCAACGGATTGACGGAAACCAGAAATGTCAACGCCAAAATTTATTTCAACTATTTCCGCGATTCTGTGACGGAGCGCGTGGTCCGTGTCCAATCCGATTATGCGTTATACATTTTCTTTGATAACATTTGTTTATTATCGTATCTATTTACCCGTTCTCCCTTTTTTTCTCCGGTTTTTCGAATACATTGAGAAATCTCCCGAGGAAATAAAAAAAAAAAAAATGACCTCCCTAAAGTACCTCCCCGGTCAAATTTACTCTCAGAAAAAGCGCTACGCCCGTAAATCATAAACAAAACGCCTCACACGGTGTATACACAGTTATTCGGAACACGTTTAACACGTCGACTTGGCCACGAAAAAGCCAAAATTCGAAATAATCCGTCTACGGCGCGCGTGATTGTTCACTTTCACGCGCGTTTCCGCGAACGCTAACGACGCGGCGAAAACGCCGAACGGTGCGTGTACGTTGAGTACGGGGCGTTTGTCGCGCGCGCACAGACCCCGCGTACACCCGGCCGCGAAAACGCGCAGTTTTCGTCAACGTGAATCTCCGTTCGCGGTGTCCGTCTCCCCGGTTCCGTTCAAAGGCGTCCGACGTCGCGCGCGGATTCCGTCATTATCGCGCCGCGCAGTCGAACCGCCGTCGGCCACGGCTACGTGCCCGACACACGTCGAATACGGTGCGCGGGACGAGCGCGACGTTCCGTTTCGCGGACGCCATGTCGGGCCGCCGCCGCCGCGACATTGTTCCTATTTATAAAAATGATTACGGGGAAATCGCCGGCCGCCCGCGATCGAGACGACCCGCGGGCGGTGAAACGTTCGCCGCCGGGTAATATTAACGTCGCGCAATAATAATAACGCGGCGTTGACCGAATGACAAATAACATTTGCGCGTTCGTATCGACAAATGCGGCGCGGCCGTACGTCCGTTCAACGATCGCGGAACCATTGGGAATTATAATCGCGTTTGCTGTTTGCCGCGGGGTTCCCCCCCCCCCACGTTGTTATCGCTAAACGCAACGTCGGATTCTACGGAAATCGCGTTTAATTTTAAAATGTAATTTATTTGGTTTATCGGGCCGCCGCCACAGTGTTCATCGTTAGCAGCGGACCGCGGTCGTTATCTTTCCCGGCGCGCGTCTTTTGTACCGTCGCTATTTCCGCGGCACGTTCGACTATAGTGCGTGCGTACGTACTCTCACTTCGCGAACTATTCCGTTATCCAAATAGGTTTTGAAACCAAAAAAAATTAATGTTTAACAATCGTCAAACGAGAATGATATTACGTTCGAAAACTAAATAACCGTCTCCGGTTTTTATCACATTGTCGTTTTTCCGAATAATGCCAATTGTTTCCCGTTTACACGCATGATCAATTTAGAATCGGGGGAGGGGGGGAAATTTAAAAAAAAATACCGGGATAAACACGAATTGTTTGATTACTTTGATTTGTTATAACAGGACCATTACCGTCGGTAATAATGAGTTGCTTCTCTATACATCTTTTTAAAATTCCGTTTAAATTAGCTTAATTTACGAATGGTAGGCACTAAAGTGTTGGGTGAATACGGCGCTAAACTAACAAACCAATCATTTGGGATAGGTATTCAACGATAAAATATTTTTTGAAATTTTACTATAAAACGAGTGTTTTGGTAGTGTTATTAGTTCTGTATCTGTTGATATTAAATTTAAGAACGTTAAAAATGTTAAATATTGAACAGTGAATTATATGCTAAACCGATTACATTTTGTTCTTTGGCTGTCAATGGTTCTAGATCGTGTTCTATCGATGGTCTGGCTGATAGTATTTTTAGAGGCAGTTGATATTCGATTGAATTCAATAGTCTCTTTAATCCCATAGATTATAGAACATTTTATTTTAGCAAACTTCAATATCGGACTATATCGTAGAATTAATGCTCGTAATGTTCAACGGAGGTGTATTTATTTTATTTTTTTTTTTATTGCGATTTTTTTAAATATATTTGAGGAAACAGTATTATGTTCAACTCAATCGTTAATGTATTTCAGTGAAAACCATTCGTTATATTCTGTTTCAGTACACAGCACGGCGATAGATAAATTCATCCGTGGTATACAGTATATCGTGTAATTTAAATTTGTTTTTTTTTTTTTCAATATAAAGTTAATAATATTTCAACGTAAATACAAAATGATATAAAACATTTATAAAACCGTATACGGGTCTATATCATTTCGCCGCGAGATGTTTTTTGATTCCTTTTCGTTTGAAACTCGGCGCCGTTTGATTGTATTTTAACGTACAAGGGGGACTGGTTAATTATACAGGTGTGTCGGAATGAAAAAGCGCGGCTGCACGCGGCAACGAAGAAAAATATTGTAACGCGTGGAAAACGTAATCAACGTAAACTGCACGATAATGACGTATAAGAAATTATGGAAACCATAGATGCCAAAGATACGTTTCGACCATAAATTCCAACCCGTGGCTTTAAAATCGATCGTCGCCACGGATAATTGGCATGTGCTCCAACACGGGCCGAATGGTAATACAAAATAATAACAACAAGGAGCAGGGGTCGGCAACCAATAGTACCGGTAGTATATCGCCGTTTTCCGTATTATTTATTAACTTTTATCGGACTGAATATTTATGCCTACGACATTCGCGCGATCATAAGAAACACATTAAAAAAAATCCGATCAAAATTGAATCGATAGTTATCGAGTTTACTTTACACGAAAAATGCGCTTACAGCTTTATATATATTTAGCATAGAATTTTTAGTAATTCGTTAAACGTTCAAACATATTAAATGATAACAAAAAAAAAAAAAAATGACAAGGCGTGTTGCTCTACTGTTCCGCGTATAGACACACCCATTGTATTTCATCAGATGTTAACACGCTCACACACACACACACACTAGTGACATTGCGAGTGAACGCAATCAGAAAATCGTTCTGAAAAACTTTTAATAAATAGTGCGGATCGTACCCCTCTTTCAGAATACACCACTTTTATATCTATGAAAGCGACCATGGATCCATTCTGGTTATTTAAAATGTTGACTTTGAATATGTCGTCAAGGTCACTCCCCTGATTATATAATATACATATAATAATATAGTTAAATATATACATTACTTATGTGATTACAAATAATAACGTATTCTGAGCAAATTAAGTCTGACAGACCTGTATAATATACTAGTCCCCTTGTACGTTAACGTTTAGATAACTAGGTAATAATTAGGTTTCTCGAATATTCCAGAATATCTTAAATTACCTACTACGAAACTTAAAAGATACGGCGTTTTCGTTCGATAATACTTTATTTGAATTTTTTTCTGGACTTTTAGTTATTATATCAGAAACTGACTGGATTTTGTACGCCCAATAAACAAATTTGGCAATTTGTCTTTGTACTAATTTTCCTTGCTAGGTATCTATTAAATTAAAACAGTGATGTCATTTGGTTAACTTAAAATTACAATCTACATTATTTATTTGCATAAACTATGTCAACACAATACAAATTACACTGCACACTCAAAAGTAGCACTGCCATTAAAACTATGGTGCTGAAAGACGTCATGACGTAAGAAAACTCTTTACCGATCAATTTGCTACGTCATACAATTGAACTGGAGCAAAAGGAAAAAACCGCCATCGTGTTTACGCACGTCTAAGATAATCATTGGTAAGATAATTGTATTGATGTATTAATACGATTTGTATATAATTAAGTACAATCGTTCATATTTTCATATAGATGCATATCTATTACACACTGTTGATACCCCCAAAGTAGTGTTGTATCACACATTTTACAAAATGTCCAAGAAAAACAATAAACACAAACAAATATTCAAATTTTGGATTTCAAAAATTGTAAGTTTATAAAACATTTTTTCAATCTATTAGGTTCGTTTTTAAAATCCACTTATTTAATTTTCAAGTAATTCTTTGTGTTGACCGTCAGAAATGGGTTGGAGAAAAAAAAAAATCAAACGTGACAGACTTATGATAAATCCGGTAAGTTTTAAAACGCGGTCCGAAAATCGATTGACATCGTATTTATGTGTATATTTATACGTACAGAACGAAAGTGATATTCGTTCAATCGTATAAGTAACGATATGGACACATTTATATCAAAATTCGTTTTCTTTGTTCGCCCGCGCCACAAGGAAAACAAATGTATACATATATTTTTTTTAACACTATATTAATAAATTGTTCGCCGGGAGGGGGGGGGGAAACAACCACCGTCCAGAATCACGTCCGTCCGTTATGCGGCGCACGCCTACAGTGTGTGCACGCGCGGTCATCACTCACGGCGTAACGCGAAACATTGCAAGTACGCAGCGGTCCGCGGGAACGCCCGGGCCCCGTAGGTTTCCGCGGACTCGGCGGATTCCTCCGGCGAGGTCAGCAATGTCTCGACCCCAACGCATCCCCATTCGCGTCCGCTGTCCGTTCGGATTACGTGATAAATATACGTTATTAAAATAACGAAAAAAATCACCACACGCGGTCGACATCGAACGTCCATTGACGTTGCCGGTCGTGTATGGGCCGCTTTATGATCATAAACATTGTTGATATTGAAAATATCGAGTCCCGTAAAATCGCGTAATCCGTTATTATCGTACTGCCGCACGTAACCGTCACATTTCCGACGGCGGCACAGAACACGTGCAGTCACAGTACTCGGCAGCGATTAGCGACTGGTTAAGACAATAGTTGCGCGACCACCGGTGTGTCTATATTTTGTTTTGGTGCGCGGGCATTTCTAGCATTTCGATAACTGTGTTTTCTGTTTTCTTGTTCTACATGTGTACGGATTTCGTATTAAAGTTGATAATCGAAGAACTCGATATACAAGTAATCAATATGACTTTTTTTTCATTAGTTCTGAAACCAAGTAAAACGGCAATGCTTACGTACGTCAAACAAACCATTGATGTGCAAACTACCGTACACTTAACCAGGGCCATTCTGAATTCCAATGATACAAATTGTGGGCGGGTCACTTTGAAAATAATGTTTCCGGTATCGAGCAACCCGCAGTCACAACAAGAAATACAGGTTTGTCACTTAGACGAAAGCAATAGTTACCAGTCCAATATTGATGTACAATTGGATAAAGGATCAACTTATACGTTTATTAGTGAAAAACCATGCACCATATATCTTAGCGGCTATTACTTATAATTGAAAATTACGTTTCTGTGATCAATTTTGATTCAGTTAAATTAACATAATAATTAATAATAGTCTCAAAAGTAATATAATATTGGTACTGTTCGTATGTGTTTAATATTTTGAAGAAAAGACTGCATTATCTGTTTACTAATTAATTCTGTAGATTAATAGTTATGACTTATTAGATGGATTTTTTTTTTAAACATGTAATTTCGTATTGAATAAATTCAATTAAAAAAAATTAATTTTTTTTTTTTTTATTATACTTTTATCATTTATTTACTAATAAATTATTTAGATAAATAGTTTGCACCTATAAGTTTCACTTATAACATAGATTTAAATTTAAATTACTGTTGTCTATTGTATTGAAATAGAGTTGATTTTTCAATAAGATAATTAAGATATTTCCTTGGATTTTTTTTTAAAATTTTTAACTTAGAAAAATAATAACTTCCTGCTTATTTTATATTTTAAATCATAAGCAAAGTTATAAGATAAAAGTAAGTAGTTAATAAAAAAGATATCAATTCTCAAATGTAAAGAACTGTAGATGTAAATGATTTAAACTATACCATTTATATCTACAATTTATGATTTCTATTTTTTTGCAATATATTGACATACTTAATTTTAAAGTGGAACACTGTACCTATCTAGCATTTAATCTAAATGAAAGGATAATAAACAATTCGGATTATCACAATCGTACTGTATTAAATAAAATAGATAGGTAAGATTTTATAAAATATCTTACTTCATTGGTTTATAGTTGTTTGTGTTTGCCTAGCGTATTAACTTTTAATTTAAGCTGCCAGCTCCTGCACTTGATCCCGTAATATTGTGTGTACGATTTTTTTTTTTCAATGTCTGAACAACTTTTCTTCTACAAACTATACCCGAATCAAAAAATTGACTACAGAACTTTTTATATCATGTTTGATTTAATCTGTGCATTAAGCTATAAAATAATTATTTTATTTATCTTTCAATTTTCTTAATAGTTAGGAAAAAGCGTACAAATTTACAACAATAAAAGTTCATTAGGTATTTTTGATTTGATTTTTCTACCCAATCTGAATATAAATACTTGAACATTTAACACTTTGAGGTAAGTGGACTGTGTTCTCCTAGCTTCTTCTGCCAATAATGAAAGCAAACAAAAGGCTACAAATTTTATTATTATTTGTTTTGAGTGATCAAAAAAGTAATTGAGAAGTAATTTTTTTTTTATATGGTCTATTTCAAATTTCAATGAAAACCATATTAAGTAAAAATTACTGCATTTCATAACATATTAAATGAACCTTTTAAATTCTGAGCGGAGAGAAGAATGTTTTACCAAGATGTTCATTATCTATATATTATTGTACACAACAATTTTATAAGAAATCTTACTCTGGTGTAGCAAGTAAGTATATATACCTACTTATATATATATTCTATAAAGAATACTAACACAATAAGTTAATATCAACCTTAAATGGTTAATTCATAGTATGAAGATAAATCAGACTGTCTTATCATATTTAAAAAATATAGAAAAGTACTGGCATACTTCGCATGGCCACTGTTGTAAGTGAGAAGTTGAGAAGGTAGAGGGAAAATTTAATATATATTTGTACGCAATGATTATCCATTGCTAATGAAAACCGATTTTGAGTAGAGTTTAATTAATAGTGTGCCTTATCAACAATATATAATACCTATGTAATATAATGGCAAAATAATTACATGTTATGGCATTATACATTTTATTTAATATTGTACCTATTTTCCCTAGGTTTCTTCCATTTATTATGAAGCTGGGAAAGTTAAAAAATGACAGCCATAAAGTATCACCCCAGTCATTATGCTTTCAGAAAAAGTGCTATAATTGAAAATCTGAGCAAAATTAATGGTAGAAAAGTTTCTCAGTAGTAAAAACAAAAAAAAATCACTACTGAAAATTGATTAATAATTTGTCACAATTAGTTATGGACAAAGAGTATTAAGAATATTATAAACACAGATATATAAATAGTATAATATATGTGGTTATAAATGTTACTACTGTAATGAAACTTTTTATTGAAGAAAATAATTAGTCAAACACACCGATTAGAAAAAACCACACTATTATATGTGGAATATTGAATTTAGATATTAGGCAATTTAAGTTTCTACAAATTTGTGGTTCAAAAATTAATTTGCATTTGTATTTCTCTATACAAGAATTGTAAATAAGAACACAATTATCAATATGGTATCAAGAAAAGATAAAAATGAAAGTTGCCTGTACATTTTTTTCTGGCCGATAAGAATTTCCGGGTAACTTTGTCCATGCCCATAAATGATATGCTTATTAGGTTAGAAATAATTTTAAATTAAGCGAGTACATTATCACAAGACAAGTCTTCTTAATTCGGCCATTGAATGTGAAAGTATTACCATGTTGAATAAAATAATAATTTCTCTGTGTTAAAGCGCTATTATATTGTAACTCAAATAACTGATGAAATTTTCTCTACTTTGTGGCCAAGTTCCCCTCGAACTCTTAGTTTTTCGGTGGGTAATTTAATTATCATTATTATATTTGGTTGTACATATTATTCAAAAATTTCATTCTGATACTCTAGCGAATCAGTTATGCAATATTTAATAATTGCATTTAAGATAATAGTCACCTAGTATATGTACAAACACCATATACATATATACGTGAAGTATACATGACCACTGACTGGGGGTGAGTGAAAACTGACAATACTACGAATGACGATTGCTTTACATACACATTTTCAGTTATTACATATTTATGAATAATACACTAATTACGATGCCTACAAGAATAATTATTCAGTAATAAATGTATAGATTACTGACCTTTCATTAATAAGAATTATTTTTTTATGATAATAGTAAAAGAATAAAAAAAAAAAAAAAAATACAAATTTAAAACACCATTTTTCTTTTTTTCACATTATACTAAAACTATCTTTGAATTTTACATATAATTAACTTCAATTCGGTTTCATTATTACATATTAATATAATTTTTGTTTTGGTTTTATACGTTTAACAAGTAATTTTTAGTTGTAAGTTAACAACTCAACATTTTTTAAAACAATTGAAAAATTATCACTGCATCACAGAACTAAATAAATCATATTATAGATAATGATAAAGTTTTGTTTAAAAAATTATGAAACACTATATGATACAAAATTTCAGACTTCTGAAATTACTCTACTCTGTAAAGTATAAATTAATTTAAAAACAAAAATAAATCTAATATTTAAATTTTTATGTAATTATAAAAAATACAAGTCATCAAACTTATAATTAACAACTATCACCAAATTCTCAATTTAAAATGTACAGTAGAAGCAGTTTATTAGGAACACTTTAGATGAAACGTGCCAATTATACGATACGTTTTATTTATTACCTATTATGAAAAAAACATATAATTTATTACCTATTATGAAAAAAACATATAATTTATAAAAAAAAAAATTATTTTATACATATAACTTAAAAACAACTTGCACTTCTGTTCCAAACTTAAATCTTGGCATTTAGACATTATAGATTTCTAGAAAAACCAAACACGAACCATACATCTTTAGGTACATACGTCGAAGCTAAAGGTATCGGTAGGAACTGTAGCTTACAATAAAGAACAGTAAAAGTAAAATAAATTATTGGAAGAGTGAAATTTAATAATTGGTTATCACTAAATAATCAAATTTCGTTATCAACCACAGCCTATTTGTTTCTAATCAGATTGATTTTAAATGTTTTAATATATGACCGGTTCCTATACATTTAGATCAATAACACGATTGTATCAATTATCCGTGTATCTAATAAGTTTAAATGTATATAATGTAGTTTATATATATACATGTAATATATTGTTATTATATATATTACATTTATTAAAATTACATCAACTTTAGGTTATCTCAAACCTTATAAACATATCAAAAAATACTAATTATTGTGCATAAATTTAATAGTACAACAAAAAATAAGTTTTAGACAGTATTGTTAAGGAACAATTGCTTTTTAGAAGAACAAATGAAAGAACAGGACGCAAATTAATTCAATACTTATAGGAATAGGAATGATAATATTGTAATTTTTTGTTTTTACAAGAAAATAAATTTTATTTAATTTATTAGAATTTCAAATAAGTCAATTCTAAGAAGTTTCCAATTTAAATTGACTTAAGCAACTCGCACTAGTTATTTTTTAATGAAAACTAGACAACTACACAACAAATGAAAATCTTCGATGTCAAATTGTATAGAGTATTGAATACTTCCAAAGGGAAATCATTAGTGACATTATTATTTTTCTATGCATTAAGTGTTCATAGAAAAAAAAAAGAACACTAACAAGAACGATAAGTTCCTCTTTTGAAGTAGGAAAGAGGAACAAATTCTTTATTAATAGAAATTTTAACAACAGTGATTTTAACAAGACAGGAAGATAATCCAAGAAAACAATGTTAAGGGGTTAAGTTATGAAAAACATTCTATACAGTAAAAAAAGTAATTTATTATTTAGGTACTAAGTTTTTAATTGTGAGAAATTTCAATTTGTTTTGATAAACAGATAAACTGTTGTCACATAAGAATTAACTTATGCTAAAAGGGTATCAGTTCATTTTTGTAAACTTTAGTAGAACAAAAAAAACCATCTGTAGGCAATAGTCTACTTCATAGTCAATTCATAACTCTACTAAATCAATAAGAAGTCGTAACTGCTGAAGTTTAGTGATTAGAAACATGAGGACTGATGTCTTTATAGCATGAAAAAAGAGCTACCATATGATGTTTATACTAACAAGGACTGGTCACATAAATATCACATATAGCATAAATAGATATGCCAGACCGCATACTTTAAAATTAATAAAATATCAATTTTGATAAAAATGTAATAAAGCTTTTAACACTAACCAATTCAAATCATATTATGTTCTTTCTAAATGGTGAAATTTGATAAAAAAAATAAAATAAAATAAATTTGTATGGATATTGTTGAATTAGGCTACAATAGATCTGAAAGTCTTAAGTTCTTTAAGATTATTATAATTCACATAATATAAGTTAAACCTAACACGGCTCCATTAAGGCTCAACAAAATACAAATGATGTTAATTACAATTTAAACATAACACTGAAGATGTTAACTCTGTTGCCATTTTTTATTGAATAATAATTAAAATAAACAAGACCAATACAATAACAATTCCCTTATATAGAAAAATATTTGATTTATAGAAAAACGGCCCACTGACAATATTTAGAACAAAATAAATAAAAATAAAATATAGATATACATATACTAGGTTTATTTAATGTTTATACTGAGGATTAATATCCAAGTTATTTATTTTTCATTATTATTTATTCGTAAATGTATATTTATGATATTTAAGTTATTTAAACGCCTTTAAATAATTTCATGACCACAAAGATCTAAATTAAGATATAATAAAAAATACTCCTACCACTTAAAATAATAGAAATTGTTAAAACAAATAGTATTGTCAGGAAAGAGATTTTTATTATAATTTTTCCAATTATTTAAGTATGTGTATCCTTTTTAATTTTCTGGCTTCGAATTTGAAAAATATATGATGATAATCAGTTTAGATGTTGTACAAGCTCTGGAATTAGTTACGCTTGTGGCATTCACGGCTCAGATGACCCTGTTCACCGCAGTTGAAACAGCTTTGTTTATTACCCTCGGGGCAATCACGAGCCATATGTCCTGAACCATTGCAATTACGGCAAGTAGTTGAATAGCCTCCTGAGTTTCCATAACCATTTCTAAAACATTTTAGTCAACATTAATGTCAGATACAAAAAATAACATAAATATATATATAAATAAAGTGTATATATTATCATAGTATAAAGTAATCATTATTATCAAAGTCCATTATCCATACAGTGAGTGTTGTGCTCACCTAATAGTATCAACATAATATTTTTTCGTAAACGTGTATTTATTTTTTTCACGTTTTTATTCTAAAAGGCTGAAAAAGAGAATTTGAGGAAATAAATTATTTAGATGATTTGAATAGTACAGATACCAATTTCAATTATCGTTTTTAATTTTTTAAATATTAGAATCCAAAGAATTTGTTTTAATATTCCATGTTTATTATATAATAAGTTATAACAAAAAAAAATAGCGAGGTGAGCATGGCATTCACTCAATACTAATGGCGGGACGAGTAGTAACAAAGAGTTAAAAGTGAAATATCTCATGAGCAGATTGACGGAAATTAAAAAAGTCACCAAAAATATATTTAAACTTATACTCTATCTATTTATTTATGAAACTTTTGATATAAGTTATCATTTTAAAATCGAAAATAGGTACACCCTCCATTAAAAATAATGGTTATGTAATATTTTAGATCTTATTGTTTCTTAAATTGCCATTTTTTTTTTGAAAACTATCAATACTTTTGCGAATAATGAGTGTTCAAGATAAATAAATCACGCTGTATAGACATTAATAGAAAAATGCAAAACAAAACAAACTATTGAAAATATAAGACTATGGTCTGTCTCACAACATTAAGCATTCGATCGAAGCGCAACCCATGGCCAATTCTCATCAGGGATTCAAAAAATGTTTTTATAAAAGCGCGCAAATTTAAAAAAAAAATATGACAGCTGTTAGGTATATTTCACTTTTATTTTATTTTGCTCGTAGAAACGTCTTGCTGTGTTATACAAAACAGGAGAGGGCACGTACGCAAGTGTACCTACTCTTACTATCAGAGATTTGTAAATATTAATATTTTAACTGCAATTTTCAGTTTTTAAAACTATTTAGATACCTACTGTAAATAATTTATGTCTATTCGTCCTGATATTCACTCCCAAACTAAAAACACAATTTTTAATGTTTATAAGTTTTTAAAAAATTGTCAAATGATAAATTGAATCTTGAAGTGGCCAATTTTTTAAAACAAACTCAGCAAATGATTGCGGATGCATGTGAAGTGAGTATTAGGACTGTGAAGTGTATAACATCTAAGGCATCTAAGGTCTTCGTGTTTAGTAATGACACTTGACCTGTAGTTTACTTGGATGAAACATGGGTCAACTAAAATCATTCATGTGATCAAATTTAACAAAATACTGAAGGATTGAAGCTACCTACTGAGAAAAGAGCTTGATTGCTTGTATGTCATGCTGGTTCAAGTAAATTTGGTTTTGTAAATCGTTCAAAATTAGTATTACACAAAACATATTTAATCTACTTAATAAATTATATTCTAATAAACTGTAAAAAAAATAAATTTTTTCGTTATTATTTTTAATAATTAAAAAAAATAAACAAGATTATAAATTGGCGGGCATTTGGGAAACAATGGAATTGGAAAGTTAGTTCACGGGTTGTGCTTCGATAGTGTCTAGTGTTGTGAAACCGACTATAGTATAAAATAGCAAGTATTTTAGATTTAAACAAAAATAGTACTTATAATAATCATAGGGAAATTTGTAAAATTATAAGGGACAAATAATTATCAGATAATCTATCTACAAATATTTTACACAGGTAATAAATACAACACATTTGTATTTTAGGTATTTATAATTAAAATAATTTACCTTTTGTACACCTAAAAATGCTGCTAAATATCAATATTTAATCGATATTATTATCATTTAATTAAATTAAATTAATTACCTGCTTTCCATACAGTCTCTAGAGAAATGACCGACTTTATTACAATTATAACAAGTAGAACTACTGCCACCTCCTCCAAAGCCACCACCACCACGTTCTGCGCGTTCATCTGGACAATCGCGTGCCAAGTGTCCGGTTTTACGGCAGTTATAACACGATGGCTCACTAGCCGACTGAGAACAGTCTCGAGCTATATGACCGACACCGTCACATCTAAAATTAAAACAAATAAATTTATTTATATATTAAAATAAATAATTTTTAAAAACATAATGTTGTTATATTTATTATTACATTTTTTATGGGCTGTCTAAATTGACAAAACAATACATTAATGTATAAAACATATTGAAAATTACATTCAAGTAAATACAAAGGATTAAAACTATCCTATTAACTAGTTAATTTAGTTAAAAAGCAAATGATGGGCCTTCAATGACATAATACAAGATACGTTAAAAAGGTTGGAAGATAATTGTGGAATACTGAAAGGAACAACATTTTTAGTCAGATTAACAGGGACTCGAAAAATTAATACACACATATTACATAATATTTAGGTTCATACTAAGTTTATCCTTAACCATCAATCATATTACTATGCATTATTGTAATATTATATGTACATAAACAAAACAGTTTATACGTACATACTCTATTCCATATTAGTTTAGAAAAATGCATGATGTGAATGCGTCATTGTTCGCGCAGGTGGAGAATGTGCGTTGCCGACGGTAAACGCTGTTTTACAACACACACCAATACAACGAAAATACATAGTGAGCTGTATTATCAAAACACTCTACACCCCACGTATATTGTACGTACCTATACAAACTATATCACCATACGGCGGTGTGCTGCAGAGGCCGCTTGACCACGAGATACAATAGTCCAGCTAATTACAGCGGTCTAACTGTTCCGGTGGCATTTATGAATGTGCGAGTTTTTTAAAACTAATATGGAATTAGAGTATAGTGTAATGTGATTCTTGATGTTTAATTGTTGTTTATTGATACAGTATTAAAACTTAAATTACAATATCAAATTTAAAATCATAGTAACTAAACTTTAAACAATCTTTAAAAATTGTGCTGTTTCAATTTTGAACTTTTAACAACTGTAAATGAAGCCAAAAGAAAAACACTAGTTCTTGTATACTTTACAATCTTTATCAACTACAGATAATAATAGCTCACAAAATGTTTCAATATATAAATATATATATTTTTTTTTTGTTTTTTATTAAATAACAACAAAACAGAATTCAAAATTATTCCCTTAAATTAGTCAAAAAACTGTGCAAGTAAAAAATATAGATTTTATAATAATCAGTTTCAGCAAAAGCCAGAAAATCATAACAAAATAATTCCAATCTCAAAAATTAAAATTGTAATACAAAAATGTTAGATAATTTATAAGTATTGATCATTTATTATATTTGTATAAAACATTTAAATACATAGAAATATATTTAATAATAATTTTTATTACGGAAATTGTTAAATGAAAAAATAAAGATCAATTCAAAATATTAAAAGAATACAGATTCATTTTTATTTATTTCATTAAAGGGTTTAAAACTCTAGTGACAAATTAATACTACTTTTATAAAATCAATAGGAACAAATCTAGTTTACGACCCAAGCTTATTTTCCTTATATTTTTACTTTCTAAAGTGCATTTTTTAATGGTCAATTCAAGGCAGAAAAAGTCTATCTGGCTTAGAGTTAGAGTTACACACATTCAGACACACAGTGTTTTGCCACGCTCACTCAGACAATAATCAACAATTTGTTGTAAAACCATGTCGGATAGATAACAAGGTGAAATGATAAGCATTATATGCGGGTAAGTTTATGTACAATAACTAAAAGTAAGTATGATAGGTTTTGATTATACCAATGGATTAAGCATTAAAATACACATTTTGGAAAAAAAATAATATTAAAAAACAATTTTGGTTCATCAACTAGATTTAATATATATATAATCAATATAATGATAATAACTTTGAGAACAATAAGATGTCATCATAACTTAAGTTTGGTACTTATTATGCTTAAAAATGTTAAAATGAAAAGGCTGAAGGATATACAGTGAAACCTCGTTAACTCGAAGGAATACCTTGGCTCCTGGCTTCCAATATATGATATGTGTGAGTTATCGAGGTTTTCCATAAGTCGAATTTTTTTTTCGCCCCCAACCGATTCGAGTTATCGAGGTTCCACTGTATATGTCCCCCTACCTACTAACAACTTAATAATAACAATTTTCTAACACTAAACAAATTATTTTGTGATCATTGGGTCAAGTTATAAAATTATATTCACTAAATTAAAGTAGGGGAACTTTAAAACCAGTTTTATCATATTCTATTTTACAAATGTTTTTCACAATTTTTTAAATTTTAAGTGCAAGAGAAGTCTTGAACCTTAATAATAACAATTGAAAACTAGGTATATAGTACCAATATTTTAAGATTTATTTTCACTAACATTATTTTAAAAAAATTACAGAGTGATTCTTTTATTGTTAAACACTCATTATTTTTCAGTAATTTTTTTTTTCTAAAAAAAAAAAATTTCGACAATTTCACACTGCCACAATATTTTTGTCACCCTTGTTTTATAACTTTTTAAGTTTATGTATTATAAAGGGAGTGTAGTGAGCACTATTCAAAAGCTGCTTGCTGTTCACCCACAGAGCCCAACAAATGATACTCCACTACTTTTCTACTACTCAAACTCAAAAGTGAAATATCTTGTGAACAGATAAGACTGATATAAAAATTTATTTAAACCAATTTTCTATCTATATGGAACTTGTACCCAAAAATAAAAGTGACACAAAATAATGGCAATGTTAAATTTTAAATCTCAGGTAATGTTAAGTCAATATTATGCGAAATAATGAGTAATCAATGATAAAAGAATCTCCCTGTATATACATAATAAAAATAAATAATTATTATAAAATTGTACATAAAATATTTAAATAGGTACATTAATATATACCAAATTATTACTTTGGCGTTCATTCAGTTATATTGATTATATATATATATATATATTTAATATACAATAAACATAATATTATTAAAATAGGTAATATAATGATAATAACAATAATATAATATTAACAATTAGGTATAATAACCTACTCATTAATATTTGTTTTTTTTTTTTTTTGTCACAACACTTGTTGCATATTTCAACAAAATTCCCAGTGCAATAATATTATTTAACTGATAGAAAACCAAATATTAAACAAAAAACCAATAGATAATAAACAAATTCTAAATCAAATAACAGGGGAAATGGTATTAAATATTGACACCTGGCTAACTATTTTAATACCTACACACCTACATAACCTCAATAAAAAAAAAAAAAAAAAAATAAAGAACAGATGGAATAGTATTTCAACATAATATTAGGTACTCCAATAAAAAGTGGGTAGTTAAAAAAGTTAATTTTAAATACAAACAAAATTAAATATGCTAACATTAGATAATATATGATATACATATATCAAAAACCCAAAAATGACAATATTGTATAAATTGTTCAAATAATACAATTAATTATCAATTGTACAACTGCAATAGGTATAATATAATATGAATAGTATTAATTTTCCTATACTGTGAAAACTGAAAACATTAGTCATAAAGGAAATTAATAGATTTTAACCATTGTATTGTTGTTTCACAATAACACGTACAGTAATCTGGTTAAAGGGCAACAAAGGATAAGTTTTTTATTAAAATGATGGCAAATAAAATAATATTAGTATTACCTGTAACACCTATCTTTGTCTTTGCAATCACGGGCAATATGACCACTGCGGTTGCATTTGTAACAACTTGTATCACGGTCACTACCGCCTCCACCAACTCCTCTGCCACCGCCGCCTCCTCTACCGCCACTGCGACTGAAAGTAGCACTGTTTACAGAACCATTATCTGAGCAATCCCTAGCGAAATGTCCAGAACGGTTACAGCGGTAACACATAACTCCTCCGCTCATGATGACTAATGGGAAATTAAAAAAAAAATTATTTTTCACAATTAGGTACAAATCGGTCCAGTGAACGATCAAAACAATAGTATCAACGTGTCACTTTGAGTTTCAAAAGCAAATGAGAAAAAAAAAAATAAAATATGGTATCCATCTGGCACAACCAATAAAGGCTTCAACACAGCCATTTTCGGTTGATGAAATCGTACAATACACACGAAATTTCGTCACTGAAAGACGGGCTGTTAGAAGTACCTACCTTAAGGTGTTGATAACAGGTTAAAATGTAAAATACAGGAGGAATAACAATATTGGTGTAACTATAATAATATTTACCTGAATTCGGTATAGTTGCACAAAACAAAAGAAATATGTAAACGTGAAAAATCGAGTGTTTCTAAAAAACGAGTAACAACAGAACGGTGGCTGGCAGACACCGGGTCGAAAAGAAAGAGCGTTTTCGTCAACGAACAAGTATCACGAGAGAGAAGAAAAAAAAAAAATGAGGAAACGTGATTTTGTCGGCGGGACAGTGTGACCGGTTCGCGGGATTTGGCCCGGCATGTCAAAGATAATAGACTTTTTCTTTCTTTTTTTTCCCCCTCCCAACCCCGTTCACGTCGAGCCGTTTGAAAACACGACCCCGTTCGTGTATTCACGCAACACGGTCGGAACAATACGAATTTCAATGGGTACCCACACTCGTGTAATAATATTGTGTACGTGGACACGTTACACTGTAACGCCGCACGCCGAACAGCTGAACGGTACGACGTGACCGGCGATTGTTTTCCGAGCGTTCGGCGCCATGTTCGCCGTACGATTTCTCACGTCACGACTCGCCGGCCGCCGCGGTTTCCATCATTTTTTGTCCGATGTCGACGTCCCGGCTATATCCCCATCATATATCATCATCGTCATTATTATTATTATTATTTTTTCATATTATCATTATTTGTTATTATTATTACGTTCACACAATATAATATCATTATCATCACGGTAGACAGGTTTAATATTCGAATATCGATAAATATTTCGTCTGCATAGTAGATATCAATATAGTTATGTGTAGATACCCACTTGGATATTAATATTGTTGTGAGGTGTACCCGATTCGCTTACCGCCGCGACTTACCTAATATTACCTAATATTATTGAATGAGTCATAATGTAATGATCGTAATTTGTTCGACAATATTGTTATAATATATAGATACCTACCTACCGTTATCACTAGAGCGGGGATTTATATTCTCTTAAAATTTTGAACAATATATGCTTGTAATATTCTCTAAAAATATTATTAAAATGTGCAAAAATATGTTTTTACATCAATGTATCCTTTTAACATCAAAATATGTACTCATATGCAAAATAAAATTTTTTATTCAGATTCTTTGTCCTGTGAATCGTTGAGTCTTACTCTCATGGTTGTGCATACATCCATTAAAAACATGTTTTTACGTAATAGAAATCCGCGCTCTAGTTATCATCAAACAACAGAAACGGCTTAATATAACGTACCTAAAACGTATTTTACTAATTATTTACATAATTAATTATAGTCGAATTATCTGCCGGGCTCAGTCCTTTCGAAACCAGTAATCGATAAAAGAAATTCAATTCAACTGCGTGTCTCATCACATTTACACCCAACGCAGTTAATCGTGGTTTCCCGACAATTATTCGTCTCTTAAAGTCGGTACTTTCTTTCCCTGACTGTGACAACCAAATTAATTGAATAATATTATAAGTCCCTCACAATTCCCGAAATAATCCAATGCAATGTCAACGTCTCAATAAAGATTATTTTGGCGATCAAAGGATTAGATTTTCGAATTGCAAAGCGATGTAAACGCAAAGGCGCCGCGTGTAAATAAATATACATACAAGTATTCGGCAAAACAATCGAGTATTAACGATATAATTGGACGCCGGCGGACACACAAAAGCCAGCAGAAAAAAAAAAGACCGTTAAACAGACGCCAATATTCGAATTTTTGGCACTCAGTCTTACGGCATTATGTTATGTTCCTAAAAAACGGCGTCGCCTGCCCGTGTCGATGCGTTTAGCCAATCGAATTGAATATCCGTCAAACCTTAATAAATAATAATACGAGCAGGAATTCACGCCCACGAGAATTCTCAACAGACAAAACAATTTCTTTTTTTTTTTTTTTTTTCTAAACACGTCATTATAGTAAAACCAATACGCATTCTTCGTTACGCTCAGAATCTAAAGTAAAATTACCCAGCTTAAAGTCGACAAAAATTTAATGTGTATTGTAGTGCCTCATGATGTAGGTGAATCATCGTATGAACCGAAAATACATATAAATATTGTGCACCTACAGAATATTGTATAATTTAAGAAAGTTATAATTGAAATCGAAATATCAACACAAAAATATATAGTTAACAAATTAACCATCAAAATCGTATTTCTGTACGATAAAAAATATAGTAACGATAAACCATAGCTAACAAAAAAACGATTCTGAACGGAGTTCAGTTGATAGTGTTGCTATGTCAACAATATATATATATATATATATGTAATATTATGCTAAAATAATTACATAGTCAATATATATTTTCTTTAATAATATATTTGTTTAATCATGTTTCCCGGTATTCCTACGGTTTTCTCATGTTTTTCCCGTTTATTGGGAATACTCCTGGGGAAAATCGAAAAATGACCACCTCAAAGTATCTCTCCAATTAGAAAAAGTGTGACCATAGTAAATCGGAGCAAAATTTTTGGTAGAAAAATTGTCCACAGAAAAAAAAAACCTTTATTTTACTAATATATTTCGTACATTTTCCCGTTTTTTCTCATTTTTTTTTTTTCGGTTTTTTATATTTGATTGGAAAACTTTTGAGAAAATTCAAAAATGGCCTCCTTAAAGTACTTTCCCAGTTCGATTTCATTTCAGAAAAAATGCTACACTTAAAAATCAGAGCAAGATTTTTGGTAGAAAAACAAAAAAAAAAAATAAACATCTTTGTATAAAACCATAAGCTTGTTGGTTCCATTTAGAATCTAAAACACAACAGGACAGTGGCGTTTTGATGATTGATGAACCATAAAGGGATTTTTCACGGACCACGAATGAACATAATGAGGATAATATTTATAAATAGTCGTATTTTTTTAATAAGGTTTTTGTGTTCTAATGGATACACGGTAAAGTCCATTGGACGCCTAGTGACTCAGTAGAGTATGATTTTGGTTAAAAATAAAAATGTAATTTTTCTCTTCATTTGTATCCCTCTGACATAAAATCTGGTTAAAAAAATAAATAAATATTAACATAGTTATTAGTATTTGGATAACACTGTAGGACATTCTGTATTCCTACTCAAATCATAAAGTTTGTTTACCTATACATTTTATAGCAATAATTCTCCCCTAATAAGTTTTGAAAAAGCACGTTCGTCGATCGCCCACATCACATGCACCGCCAACGAAAACGAACAAATGAGTACCTGCACGTAATAATCTTTCAAAGTTCTATTTGCAGGTACTATCCCTATCATAAAAAGTCTCTTATTCCATAAATACGTATAGGTAACATTATATTTACAACGAAAAAAAAAATAAAAATTGTATACATTTGTATGCGTAGGTTGAATGCGTATAAATACATCAAAATTGTAGGTACATATATTTTAAAATTAAAGTATAGGTAAGTACGTACATAATTATAAACAACGACTGAAAATATAGGTAGGTACTTATACAGTTATACTTACTGTATAATATAGTCGACAGTCAAAAAATGAACCAAAATTATTGTTATTATTGTCATGTCACGCGTAATTATGATTTATTTCAGTCTATAATATCATAAAAAAGTATCAGATTTTGAATATTATTTACTATAATCGTAAACCGAAAATGTTCGAGTAACATCAATTTTAATTGTGTTTCGATGAATTTTGACATTGTGTAGGTTTAATACTTATTTATCATTCACTCGATACGTTCTGTATGGTTTGTTTGTAGAATACGGTTTAAATTAAATTGTAGCTAAAGCTTAAAAACTACAATATTTAACTGGAACAAATGTGCTACCTCATATAAATATTTGTATGTTATATACAATATTGAACAATGTACATTTGTTGCTTTCTGGAATATACTGACATGTTCTATGTTCATAACATTTTATATACATAGCTACTTTTCTTTAGATTTGTATTTTATATATGAAATAAATTCAACAAATAAAACCCAATTATTTTATACAATCGTACAAGTAGTATTGCGATTTGTTTGTATGATTTTCTTAATAAAATATGCATTTTTTTTTTTTTATTAACACATAACCTATTAAAGATAGATAGTAAATACTCAAAAAAATCATTTTAATATACGTTTAAAATATCTAGGTATTAAATATTATTCTATTGATATAATTTTTTTTTTTTTATTTATCATCATGATGGTCAAACTAGACGAAGGTCAAGGATAAATGAATCATATTATTCTATTTTTAAAAACACAACAAAGATAAACCTTCAAAATTTAGAAACTTTACTGAAAACCATCACCCATGTGATGTATGTATAATATGATCCACGTTTTTTTAAATTTATCTTTATAATAATCGATAAAAACCTAAGAAAAAAAAATATATATATTTTTTAATACCTAGTTTCCTGTATAATATATTATAATAATTTATAAAGCATAGCCGTATATAATCATTCATTAGGTACTATAATAATGACGTAAATTTAAAAATATTATGAAATCATTAGGTATTATGTAGTCGTTAAAATATTTGTATCAACTTGTTCTATACAAGTATAATATTATATATGAATGTATTTTTCATATTCATGATGAATAATGAATATTAATAATAGTTTTAAAATATATTATTAATGTTTGTACCTACAAGAAATTAAATAAATTCTATTTTAAAAATAGAAACAAGTTATTTCTTTTTTTCTGATTTGAATACTCATTGGCATAGCTTTTAATTTACTCGTTAATCGTTATTATCGTTTTAATAGATAGCACGGCCGGATTTACCTAAAAGGCGCTCCCCTGACTAGTCAAAAAAAGTTCCTACTTCTTAAAACATAGTCCCCGCTTCCCATTTATTTACCAATTTTGCATGTCTATAAAAAAATGTATTATGGATTAATTTAAAAGTATTTTAAAGTCAATGTAAAAAATTACTCCACTTTACTCAAATTAAACAGATTACTCCTCTCCACTTTATCCAAACACTCGTAATCCTATGTTTCCACGTGCTCCTAAAACCCGCCTCTGTTCTTTTCTAAAAAGAGCTTCTAGGTAATTAAAACTCTCAACCTCACCTATAACTATTCAGTTGTCTATTGTCATTAGCTATCTTGGCCTGTTTCTCAGAACTCATATAGGTTTTCTGTTTTATTTCTACTTATCCTTAGTCCCTTTCCTTCAAGTACAACTCTCTATTTTGCAAGTCTACAGTTAACTTATTCTAGATTTTCTCCTATCAAAGCATATTATTTGCAGAAAATCAGGCAACATGATACCTCCTCTTATTTTGA